TCTGTGAAAGGGCTGAAATGGAAAAGAAGAAATATAGTTACAGACTTAAATTGATCAGGAGATGAAGAGTATTAGACACAAGGTAAATATTTTAGTCGTTAAAAAAAGAATAACAATAATTAAATTTGTCTTATTAAAAATCTCAAGTTTTAGACCATGTTTACTTTAAAATCTGGACACAGCATTAAGTAATTATTTTTCTTTATTCATAAATTATAAACAAAATCAACCTCTTGATGTAAGGTATAAGACCAGGGACATGGATGATTATGAATGAACATAAATTTATTAGATAATTAGAAAGGTCACTTTGATGATGGAAACAGTTTCTTGGAGAAATTAGCCAACCATACTCAAGATTAATAAATAATTTATCATATATCTTTAAAAATATATATAATAATCATATAGGGAGAAAGAATTATGAAATGCTTGAAAACCTTATTCAGAATAATCTATAAGTCATGCCCCAGATAGGTGTACAAATTAAAATAGCTAGTTGTCCCACAGTGAAGCAAACCTCATTTTTTATTTAACAGGCACAGTATATGTTCTTGTTATATTGGAATATTTCTGGAAAACATTACCTAGCAAGATTTGTTTTAGGAAAATCTATTAACAACAGAATAGTCCTATAAAATTTTGCAAGGGGAATGAAAAATCCACGTGTACTCCTCATGAACTCACTCTTCCCAGTTTTATGAGGTTTATCTTTAGCTGCTAGGAAGAAGGAGCAGCTCATTTCTTATCTCTTCTCTGTTCTGAAAGACACTAAATCATCCCTGAGATGACAACATGTACCTAGTTAGACTAAAAGAAAGATTAAGTGGGAGGGATTATTTTATTGGCTCAAGAAGAACCTGGGTATGAAATGTGCCGGAGTATTACAATCATTGCAAAATATTGACAAAACATTGCACAATATTGTATTGCTAACAATGGTCTTTTCACCCAAATATACTGGTTTTATGCCTTTGTATAGAATATTTATTCCTACAACTTTTGGTTAACCCCAGTATTTTACTGTTACCATGGAAATGCACGGTGTAAATTGAAAACTACTGGCTTTAAAAAAGTTTAGTTTTGTTGATTTCCAAATTCCTAGAACACATTGACTAACTCAATAAATATTTGAAGTTTTTTTTTTTTTTACTGTAATTTCTAATGGGGGGATACAACTTAGAGAAAGATAAAATTCTCTTCCTCCACATCTTAGAGTTTATCAGGGAAGGTGAAAGTCGTGCACACACATACCAGTGACATAAGGGAAAATACTATATGGGATAAGACCAAGAGAGGAGTTCAGGGAACAGAAAGATTGGTTTTGCCTGAGAAACCAGGCAAACTTCATACATTAAAGTTATGGGTAAGAATTGAGGACATGTAGGTAGAAGGGTATTCCCAAAGGACAGTTCAACAAAACAGAGGCACCATCATGTAAAGCATAAGCTACTCATGGAGTACAAGTAACCCTAAGAGTAAATTATAAGATTTTATAGTGTTTGTAGTAGGGTTAAACGAGTTAGTACATTTCCTTACATCATGTTAAATAAGAGATTTTCAACCAAATTTCCAAATTGTGGTGGTAAAATATGCATATCTTTGACAGAATTTGTAGTTTCCTTTACATTATTATTTTTAACTTCTTCATATTATTCATGCAGTTATTCAATAGATGTTTATTGACTTATTATGGGAGTCTTACATTCTAGAAGGAGGCTTTGTTTATATTTGGAATGTCAAATATTAAGCCTCCAGATCAATGGTATTGGTCTTAATGACTCATGTTTAGCTCTGTTTACTACAACTCATAAGGAACCAGAAAAATGTGTGTCCCAGTTTCACTTTAGAATTTCCAATAGTAAACAAACTTGAGAGACAAATTAAATATTCCTTCTGCACCATCTTGAGTGTGGAGGCCACATGCATTATGGAAATTGTGCTCTGTGAAACTGTGGGTTTGAATTCTTATTTCAAATCCATAAATTTTTACATAACCTTTTTAAATAAAGTACATAATTTTTGAATGTCTGTTTTGAAACTGGAATATATTCTACTTGCAAGCTATGGAAAATTGAGGTCATAGATACACTTAAGTTCTTTGCATGTAATAGGTGATCCATAAATGGTAACTATTTATTATCTATCATAGTCTACTTCAATTGTATTACAATTCTTTTTTTTTTTTTTTTTTGCATGCTTTTCTTCCATAGAAGACTATCAACTCCTTCAGGGCAGAGAGCATTCTCTACCTCTTTTTTAATTCATTGCACAATAAGCAATGAACACAGTGGAAGAAAAGAAAGCACACTCTTTCAATGGTTGCTTATCTCCTGGCACACTTATAAAAGTTTATTGATAGAACATGTTCAGCTACATCAACATGTTTAAATCATGAGTCATTGCTGTAGAGCTGAATGTAGTTAACCAAGTCACTTCCTTTGTGTCTGGATTGATAGTGTCATTTTCATTTGATGTATGAATAAAATATATTACTGAAAAAAGACTTTTTTTTCACTAGATACAAAATATTGATTCTGAATGCAGGTGGAGGCATTAAATATTTCTGTTTGTAAAAATAGTCTTTTCTAATGTTTGGGAGTGAGATGAGGGGGACAACAGCAGTCATTTTATAAAACTAAGGAAAAAATAAATTGTATAAATGAAAATACTCTTTCCTTAAAAGTCAAAAGTAAGAAAAAAGAGGACAAATCCATAGTATATTTATTGGGTCCTGAAGGATGTTGTCATTTTTGAAAAAATGTGACCATCAGGTGGTTTTAAAAAGTAGAAGTAAACTTTGCCTCAGTGCTAGTTAGTGTGGTCAGTGCAAGCATCTGGTTCAGGAGGCCATGGACAGGGTGACATTCAAATGCATGACTTTCCTGACCAGATTTTCCACATTTTGTTCATGACTGTACTGACAGCTAGCACAGGGGTCAGACACAGCATGTACTCTGTTTATTGAACTTATGGTCACCTCTCATGACTTATCATGACTTTTGTCAACCACTTACGAAATCAATGTAATTTCTTCTCAGCCTGCATAGCAAACTGCTTTACTATGGTAGGATATTATTTGCACATTGAAAAAAAAATTAGAGACAAGAAACAAGAAAATTGAGGTTATTATAATAGGAGCTTATCAACTTTTAAAGCAATGCTTTAATATATATTGCTTTAGCAAATGTCTTATGTTATGTATAGTTATTTAAATTATAGTCTATAGAACAAAGAACAAGTTTTGTAAAAGAACATGAAATTATAATGTTCCATTGTAACAGATTCCTTTGTTTTCAAATATCTTTGGTATCTTAGTTCTAAAATCTAATAAAGTATAGAATACTTATAACATACACTCAGGTTCATTAATTCTTTTTTAATATTTATTTTTTAATTGTAGGTGGACACAATATCTTTATATCATTTTTATGTGGTGCTGAGGTTTGAACCCAGTGCCTCACATGTGCTAGGCAAGCATTCTACCACTGAGCCACAACCCCAGCCCAGGTTCATTAATTCTAATTTTACTAATATATGTGGAAGAATATCATCTAAACTACAAGGAAATCTGCTAATTTCCTTGTAGTTTTAGGTTATTTCCTTACTATTTCTGTTAACATAACTCTTTTTAGTATGATTTCTATGGAATAAGCTTCTTTTAGTTTCTATTTAGAGACATAAATCAGTTCAATATTTTGAGTTTTTAATAAGTTTTGTATTTCCAGCATTGCACTCTTTTTTCTAATATAACTTAGAGGTTCTTTTCTCTCATATATCATAGTATCTTTTTCCCTATTCTGTAAATGTAGCAGTTATAATTCTCCTTTGTTCAAGTTAATAGATTAATATTATCTTTATACCAAAACCAAAGATTTGAAAACTTCTTCCCAGTTTGCCACAATCATAATATATGTTCATTTATCTAGATCACTCCACATTACTGTTTCTTAACTATGACAGCTCTTTTTGAAAATATATTAGACATATATATTTGTAATATTAAAGTGTGCAAATCTCTAAATCAAGTAATCCCCAGACAATAGAGGCATCTCTGCTGCCACAGTCCTGCCCTTGGAGGGAGTGAGAACCTATCTCTGGGCCTCATGCATCAGAGAGTTCTGTTCCGACTGTCCTCACACTGTTGTCTCTCTATGGGGAAAGGAGTCCACAGCCTGAATGACCACACCCTCCTTCTGGGGTACCTAGAGCCTGCAGTTCCCCATCCGAACACCCAGGTATATGTTCTCGACCTCTGCAGGGCTTGTCCCCAGTCTGTCCTTAGGAGACCACACTGCCACCAGTGTACATAGTCCTGGACTGAAGAGTGGCCAGGGGCAGCTGTTTGTGGATACTGTGACTAGATCTTATGCATGCAGTCCCCTCACAGTGAAAAAGAAAAAAAAACGGGGCTAATAAGTTGGGTGAAGACGGGTTCCCCCCACCATTAGGGTTGTTCCCAAACATAACTCCAGTAATTGTAAATTCAGATTTGCCTAGAAGATCATTGTGGAGGTAAATTGTCAATTGAGGGGAGCAGGAATAGCTTATTTAGCAATTTGTTAGCTTATTTATATTTTTCAAATATATGGTATGAGGGCTTCCAATTGTTTTCATGTCCTGGGCTCTGAAAATATTTAGAAGTGGAACTACTTACCAAGTTTTTTTCTTTATTTTCAAGGTCAGAAAACAGGGCTTGAAACTTAGATCCTTCATTGTTTTGTCCACTTTAAACTGAGATGGTGAGGACAAAAAATGACATTTCAAGACATAGTTAGGTTAGAGTACACTGGAAATCTGCTCATTCCCTTTTATTTCCTTTCTTCTCTTGGATGAATGTAAATTGAAAAAATAGGCAAACAAGTGGGCAGTGGTGCTTCACAGGGAAGGCCATGAGGGGTGGCACTTCTTAGTGTAGCTGCTTCAGTTATAGCTCAGTCTCTTTTTCTTCTTCACAAGCTGCTTCATTAACATAGAGCTGGTTCCTGTCCTCATCCTAGGTATCATTACTATGGAATTGGAATCAAAGAGAGCAGTGCATATTACCACTCCGTTTATTCTGGAAAGGGCCTGACAAGGTAGAGTTGCACCATATTCAAGATAAATTCTCTGCATTTTTTTCAAGCATGCATGATATCTATTAAATAAATGGCTTTCTAATTTTGCTTATCAAATGTTTCCTTTTAATTATCAAACCTTGTTGTCAACTTTGGGCATTTTTAATTATGTAATCTAGAATACTAAGTATGTGATTTGTAATAATTAATGAGAAATTAAGGGTGAACTAAGTGTACCAGAGAGATGCAGAAGAAAAATCAAAGAAGTTGAATTGTTTTACAATTAGTATTTATTCATAAGTCTTACTCTATATTCAGGCTGAATTCAATAAAATAAAAGCAGAAAAATGTGGTTTTCTTCCCTCAGAGACAGCTTGTTTTAAAGATCTATATGCTTGACTAACATCTTACCAATATGAGAAGTTTATTATAATAATCATAATTACATATACTTTGAACATAACCTTACAATAGTAAGATGAAACTGCTGGCCTGTTTGGGTCTGTGTCTGTAAAAACATATGACTATAAAGATTCCAATGCTCTAACTTATATTAACTATCAGAAAGAGGTTATTAATAAATGAGGTGACAACCAATTAAATAATGATAATATTAAATTATTTTTTTTGAAAATACTGAAACTGAATAATTAACACAGCATCTGAGAGTGCCTTATGGTGTGATTTACTGAGAATTACTCTTATCTCTAAAAAAAAAGAAATAAAGAAATTATTTTTTTAAAATAAATTATCTTGTGAAAAAGAAATTTTAATCATTTGAGCTATACTATAATAAAATATAAATTCATATATTATAATGAACATAGTGGCAGTTTACTGTCCTCTACCCTCTATAAAATGTAAATACAGGCTGGAACATACACACTTTTTAATATGTAGTGTTCTTTGCTTGCCCCAACTCTTACCTGATTTCCCTAAATACCTTTCATTTTATTTTCCCCTAAAAGACATATCGTTAAAGTTGAGAAAGATGTTTGAGTTCCTTAGAAAGAAACTGATTTCTGCAGTTTATTTTGTTAGTCATGTTATGAAGTTACTACTTCTTTAGTTTCATTGTATTTCCTTGAATGTTATAACTCTAATTTCTTTTTGAACTAATGGAAAATATGCTGATTTTTAAGGTTTTCTGGGAGCAAGCTGAAGAATGAGGTAAGAATTATTTTCATCTCTATTTTACATCTGCTATAGTGTGTTACAAATTCAGTAATACATATTAATCATCCTGGTTGGCAAATATAGAAGTAAATGTTATTTATTAGGAGCCACTTCAATAACTGAGGACTTCAATGCAGCTCAGTCAGATTCAAGACAATAGATGAATCTTTACATGCACCTAATGACAATTCCCAGTTAACCTAGGAAGGATAATTTTTCAGCACTCCTTAATTCATGATTCAAGAAGTTTCCACTTAAATATAAACAAAAAGCCTAAGCTGAGGGTATTAATAGAATGAGTATTTGACTGAGCCCATTTAGAAACTTTAATAGTTATCAAGAAGGAAACTTTAATAGTTATCAAATGCTATGCTATACTATTTTTTTTACTACTTTGTGTACACACACACACACACACACACACACACACTACTCTTGTATATAATCTTTCTCCCTCTGTTTCCTCTCCACCTCCTCCTTAAAGAACAGATCAGCAAACTGACTTTATCTAAATGAGTTAGACTACCATTAGGGACTGCATGGCTAATTAGGCAGATGATAAGGCCTTCATTATCCTCAACTTAACTAATCATTAAAACAAGGTGCCACAGAACCAAGGGCACATGACAATGTGTTGCAGGGTAAATCTAGACCTAAGGTAAAGTGTAACTCCATTAGTTTGATGAAATGATGTGAGCATATTATCTTAAGAAATAACAAAAGCCCCTGATCCTCTGAAATGACCAATTTCTTTCCAGTAGTTTAAATGCAGTTAATTGCTAATTATATAATAAACTTCTCCAGATTGCTCTTTTAAATCAATGAAATAATAACTTTTTATTACATAAACAATTGTGAAACTGCAAAAATATTGATTTAGAAATACACTTTGATTCACTAAGGATTAGTTCAATAGGCATTGTAAGTAATTTCTCTCAGGTGTTCTTTCTCCCTGTTTGGAGAGGCTGAGGTTGTGAGTGAGCCATCAGGTGACATGAGTGTGGCATGTTTGGATTCATAGATACTAAGAGAAAAATGTTTCTCAAGCCTCTTTTATCCTCCTGAGAAGAATACACTACAAATTCTGTTGTAAATAAAGTTAAGAAGGGTAGGATAAAATTTAGGTAGACTGTAAAGCCTATATACTTACAAGAGAAACTGAAGGAATTAATAATGCACTTTTATGAAAAATGACTAAGAAAGGGCTTTCTCAAAGCTTAGAAATAAATGCTTTTTAAAAATGACAATAAAATATTTGCATAATAGAATAAAAATTTTAAAAAGTATTTTGTATTTGGTCACCTTCCCTGTTTGTTTAGTACATGGAAAATTCAGGGCAAATCTGAATCTACTTCAGGTTATTTGAACATTAATAACTGTGAGGTAGGGAGAATACGTGCTAGCACTGTTAATTTACCACTAAGGAAAATGAGGCTGAGAGGTTTATTTGCTTTTTTAAAAAATTCAAAGTAAAACTCTATTAAAAAAAAATTGTGGCCAAGATCTTAAAAAACAGATGTGTGATATTACAGGTTCTAGGGCACAAAGTTGTAAATGAATAGATTTGGTCCCACCCTCACATAACTTTATAGGGTAGCAGAAAAACATACCTTGAATAAGTGATTATTAGACATTATAAAGGATATCATGGGAGTGATGGTGTTAAGGGGGTTAAGGACATTTCTCACAGGAAATAATGTTTGAGGAAAGAACTAAAAACAAGTGGAAGTTTGGAAGAAGAGGAGAGTGGGGAAAGAGCGAAGAGGAAAGGTCCAGACAGATGGAATGTGCATAAGTGTTTCTTGGTTTCAGTAAACGGATATTTTGGTCCAGATAGTTCTGTTTGTGGGTAATGTCCTGTGCATTGTAGAATGTTTAGTAGCATCATATCATGTCTGGCCTCTACACACTAGATTCTAGTAGTAGCTCCTTCCCTCCACTGTGTCAACTAAAAATGTTTCTGACATAGCCAAATGTCAACCACTAGCATATGTGAGATAAAGAAAGAGAAATATCATGTTGTAATAAATAATCAATCAATAAAAGAAATTCCAGATGACTGTAATGTAGGAGGGGATGGAGAACAGAGCTGTATACTAGGCAGGTGATGGATTATGAACAGTTTTATTAGGTTATGGGAAGCAACTGAAGGGGAAAGACATCATCAGACTTGGTTCATATCAATTAGAAGAGTATGAAAGAAAGTCAGTAGATCCATTAGTGGCTATATGAATGCACTGAGTAAGAAAAAATTGGAATGAGAATAATAGCTTAAGGATGGAGAAAAATGACTAATTTTAGTTAGGAAATAGAAAAAAGAAGGGTTAAAAAATTAGAAAAATAAAAGATTCAGTTTGGGACTTGTCATATTTGATAAGCTTATAAAACATCCAGTGTAAATTTGAAGTGGGTAATTGGGGATATACATCTGGAAAAGAGAATTTACAAATAGAGGTTCATGGTGATTAAAAGCCATAGTAATAGATAAAATGACTGAAAGAGAAAACTAATGAGAAGAGGTTACTGGAAGAGAGTGATGGAAAGTGATTAAGAGGAAGGGCTAGAGGGCCAGCAAGATGACCAAGGAGAATCAGAGGGGCAAGAAGCAGTGGACCAGAGGTAGTGTCACAGATTCCAGAGAAATTCAACAGGAGGGAATGCTTGCTACTATTAAATGGTGCCGAAAAGTCATTGAGATAAGGACTGGGAAAGGACCTGTGGACTTAGTTAAGTGGAGATAATTAATGACCTCAAGGGGAGCTGGGATTCATTGGATTGTGAAATGAGTGCGAAGTGGTACTCAATGTAAAAAATTCAGTGAAGTGTAGTGCGATAGTTAGAAGAACAGTCAGAATTTAGTTTGGAAGGATGATTCTAGTAATGATCTAATGTTAATTAAAGAGATCCAGTAGAGAACGAAGACTGAAGATGTAAATGAGGGGAAAGTTGGGAGGGAGGATGTCGTAGGAAAGAACTGCAGGGTGAAGGAATTAGCTCCAGAAGAGAAAGGTGAATTCAAATGCAAACGAATTTGCAGATTTTATGTCAGGAAATTGAAGTAGCATTTGTTGTGGGTGGTTTTGGATTCTTCTCAGAAGGAATAGGTAAGATCATCTGCTCTCAGTGAAATCTTGGAGAGAATATAGAACTTTGAAGAATCTTATAGAAAAGTCCCAGCTATTCTCAAGCAGAATTCTCAGAGAGAACGTAGCCGTAATACCCTAAGGTACCCATTATATACAAGGAACCAACCCTAATACATGCGTAATGGTAGCAGCTACTCATCCTTGGAGAACTGAGAAAATGGACCATCAAATCATTTTCAGTAGGACTTCATTATCTCATAGATTTTCTTTTAAGAGAGTTGGGAATGGAATCGTAAAACTAAACTGGAAGGAGCTAGCAGAAATGTAAAAGTATTTAGAAGTCATAATAAGAGAAGCATACTACCTGTTTGAAAAAAAAATACAGGTATTAAAGAAAAATTTAAATGCAAATATATACCATGTGCCTGACTAGAAATGGTAGGTATTATAAATATGCCCTTTGTTCCTCAGTTTATGCATTTAGTATTCTAATAAAAATTTGGATGATTGATTTTGGAAAATGATTATAATCCTGATCTAGAAGAATAAAGAGGAAGTAATAGTTAAGAAATGCAGACAAGAAGAGTAAAAGAGGATTTGTTTAGTAGATATCAAAACATGACACTATGATATTGACTCAACTGTAGATACAACAAATCTGCAGCAAAGATTAAAGATCATATACATACATATGGATTAGTACGTGATTATGAGGAATTATAACCAAAAAATGAAAGAAATATTTTTCAATGAGTTGTTTTAAGTCCTTTCTGAAGGAAGGTGGAATACTAAATAAATAAAATCATTCAAGGCATATTGTTATGAAAATAGTCATACTGTTATGACTATAAAAACTATTCCTCACACATTATATGAATTTCATATAAACTATTAAATATAAAATGAATACTTAGAAAGAATATATGTATCTATCTCATTTAAGAAGAGGGCAGTTCACTTTTTAAGCATGAAAACAGTATAAGAAATTTCAAAGGAAAGAGAAAACACCAAAATTGGAAAATTCTTTACATCTAAGGCATCCTATGCAAAATTTGAAGTCAAAGGAAAAATTGGGGAAAGTACCTTCAACAAATATGATAATATCTCTACTACATGAATAAATCTTACAATTTATATGAACAATACAAAGACCATACTAAATATAGTAAACGAAATTAAATAGACAATTCACATAGTTAATAAATGCATGAAAATTGAAGAGTTAAAGAAATAATAATTAAAATTATGCTTTACTTTATAAAGTTATCAAATATTGAGAAATTATTGTGAAACTATGGTTAATGAATGATGAGATAAACTCATATATTGCTGGTGAGAGTAGAATGAACTTTCTGGAAAACAGTTGGAATATCTGTATTATGAGTCTTTAAAAAAAACGATGCCATTTTTCCTACTCTTTCTACTTTTAATGAATCTCATATAAAGAAATAAAAATAAAATATGCACACAAAGTATCATGCACAAAATTGTTAGTGACTTCAGTGAATAAGTATATGTAACAAAGGACTAATAATAAAAAAATATTACATTGTTGATAGTATTTATATGAGCTTCTTTTAATGATGTAGAGAAACATTAATTATAAAAAAGACAAGACATAGGGCTGGGGTTGTGGCTCAGCGGTAGAGCGCTCACCTAGCATGTGTGAGGCCCTGGATTTGATCCTCAATGCCACATAAAAATAAATAAACAAAATAAAGGTATTGTGTACAACTAAAAATAAATATTAAAAAAAGCCATGGTGGTCCCATCAAAAAAAAAAAGAAAAAGATAAGACATAAAAGCAAATGTAGAATCTATAACCTCAAATATGTAAAATGAAATTGAATATTTATAAATCATATAAATGGGAGAATTAATATCTGTAACTATGATATACAATATTGT